ACTGAATACAGCAGGGGTTCACCCGGTGCTGTGTATAAGAAGAGGGAATATAATAAACCCTTTGGCGTTGTTATAGTTAAACAGCAAAGCAGAAAAAGTGCTGCTGCTGCAGCTGCTGCTGCTGCAGCTGCTGCTGCTGCAGCTGCTGCTGCAGCTGCTGCTGCTGCTGCAGCTGCTGCAGCAGCTGTCATGTGCATGCGTTTGTTTGTGTTTTTTTTGTTTTTATTTTTGGGTGTCTCAGTTAGAGCCGCATAAGAAGAAGAGCAACAACAAATACAACAATAAAAACAAAATTTATTTTTTTTTCTTTTTTATTATTTTCTTTTTTATTATTTTCTTTATTTTTATTATTTTCTTTATTTTTATTATTTTTTTTATTTTTATTTTTATTTTTATTTTTGTTATTTTTATTATTATATTGTTGTACTTGTATATATTATTTCTGTTTTTATTTCATTACTCTTCGTATCATATATATAAATACAACTACATATATATATATATATGTATATATATATACATATATACATATATATATGTATATATATATACATATATATATATTTATATATATATATATTTATATATATATATAAACATATATTTATATATATATTTACTGAATTGTCTCCTTACATGGTTTCGCGGCTTTATTGAGTAGAAACACATCTCCTCCTATCTCTCCGCCCGCAGCATAAATAAATAAATAAATAAATAAATTTATATAAATAAATATATTTATAAATAAATTTATATATTTATTTATATATTTATTCAAGTGTCTCCTTACACGGTTTCGCGGCGTTATTGAGTAGAAACATATCTCCTACGGTGTCTCTGCATGCACTATAAATATATAAATATAAATAAATATATCTAAATAAATAAATAAATAAATATATTTATATAAATAAATATATTTATATTTATTCAAGTGTCTCCTTACACGGTTTAGCAGCGTTATTGAGTAGAAACATATCTCCTACGGTGTCTCTGCATGCATCATGTATAAATAAATAAATAAATAAATAAATATATTTATATAAATAAATAAATATATTTATATATTTATTCAAGTGTCTCCTTACATGGTTTCGCAGCGTTATTGAGTAGAAACATATCTCCTACTGTGTCTCTGCATGCATCACAGACTTCTTTTACATGTTGTATTGCTTGTTGGCCGAGAAGCATAGAGGGGAGAAGAGAGGGAGGGTCAATGGGCCTCACCGCCAGCCCCTCTGGCTCTGGGGGTAGCAGTGGTTCTCCCCTGAGTCTCCTTTGGTCGTTTTCTAGTCTCCTTCTCTCTATCATTTGTTTTTGTATTTGTTGTTGTCTTATACTATCACGTTGATACTTTTGTATTTTATCTTGTTCTTCGCTTAATTGCTCTAAACAAGAGGAGACACTTAATAAAGAACGACGTAAACTGTCTCCTTTTGACTCACACCAACAAGGAGACAAACCCACCACCCCACAACCACCAAACCAATCACTAAAACATGCCTCCAATAAAAAACCACTACGCAAAGATACAGGAACCTATAAAAAAAAAAAAAACACAAACACAAACACAAACACAGAAATACATGCTGCTGCTGCTGCTGCTGCTGCTGCTGGTGCTGGTGCTGGTGCTGGTGGTGGTGGTTTTGTTCTTGCTGCTGAGGCGGCTGATGCTGTTCGTTTTGTTGATGAGGGAGGCACAGAAGCAGCAGCAGCAGCAGCAGAAACAACAGCAGAAGCAGCAGCAGCAGAAACAATAGCAGCAACAGGTGCAGCAGCAACAACAGCAGCAACAGGTGCAGCAGCAACAACAGCAGCAACACAAATAAAAACACAACCACTAAGTCATCAACACGAATCACCATAAAAACAGCAGCAGCAACAGCAACAGCAGCACCACCACCCCACGCAGCACCATTACCAGCAGCAGCAAGAACAGCAGCAGCAGCAGCAGCAGCACGAGCAGCAGACGGCGCACACCCCCCACCCCAAAAAAAAAAAAAAAAAAAAAAAAA